GAAAAGGGCAGGGAAGATTGCGAAAGCCGGCGCCAGCACATCCCTCCATCCGAATGTCAACGGCTCGGCCTTGCCAGGTATAATATCAAGGTCCCAGGCGGCATCGGCAGTGCGTTCTTCCCGTAGCAGCGAGAAACCGCCGCACATGCTCCGCCTCGACGGCCGCCTCGCGCTCGTTCGAGGTCTGCTCCGCCCGAGCAGCGAGCTCTCAGGTGCGGGCTCTCGGGGCGCCGACCAGCGGTAGGGAGGAAGGTCGAGCGCGACGCCGCGGAGCCAGGGCAGCGCGGCCGGGGCTGGGACCGTGAGCGGCGATCGCGCTCCGAGTCGCCCAGCGACGGCAAGGCACAGGACAACGAGGCGCGACGGCCGTTGAGCGGAGGGCTGGCGAGCAAAAAGAGGCGCCTCCGGGCGCAAACTTCAGAGGGACTCTTATGAGTTATGCTCTGCAACGAAACCAATTCGTATCGAGAGTTTTCACGATCAGTTTGGGTATACCCCCGAGCCCAAAAACCTGGGGCCAGTTTTGCTGCGGGCAACCGGGTGGAGCGGCGGCGGCGGCGGCAGCAGCACGCGCGGGCGGACGGATTCGGACGGGGCGGAGCAGCAGCCGCCCAGGCGGCCGCTGCTCTGTCTGCCAGAGCGCGCCGTCTGCCTGCGCAGCTCGAGCGCGGTCAGGTGCAGGGAAGCGTGGCGGCGCGGGGAAGCGCGGCGCGGTGGTGGCGGCGGCGGCGGCAGCGGCACGCGCGGACGGACGGATTCGGACTGGGCGGAGCAGCGACCGCCTGGGCGGCCGCTGCTCTGTCTGCCAGAGCGCGCCGTCTGTGCGCAGCTCGAGCGCGGTCAGGTGCACAGGGAAGCGTGGCGGCGCGGGGAAACGCGGCGGCTCGAGCGCGGTCAGGTGCACAGGGAAGCGTGGCGGCGCGGGGAAACGCGGCGGCGGTGGCGAGCAGGCGAGCGGCCCGCGCGCGGCGAGGCGGACAGGTGATCGGCAGGCGGGTGATGGGCCGGAGAGTGACCGCGCCCAGCGATCGGAGAAGACGAGCCGGTCGTCGCTCGGCCGCAGCTGACCTCGAAGGCGTGCGGAGCGCGACTGTCGGTGTCGGTGGGCGGCCGTCATGTGGCGAGGAGGGAGGGCGACAAGTGCGCGTCGTACGGGTCGCTCTTCATCGGCCAGTCGAGCGGCACTCAAGTCGAGACCGAGCATGGGCGACGAAAGCCGGTGAGGCGCGGCGAGATTCGTTGCGAGATACGGTTCGCGCCCAAACAAGTTTGGACGCTCTGGGGACGCGCCGAAAAACCAACTCGCTGGAAAGGGGGCTACTGGGGCGGCCAATTCACACCTCGCGGGACTACTTATGTTTTCGTAAACGTAGTCGTGGCCCCCCGCTACGTCGCACGACTGCGACTGGGTAGCGGGGGGCTATAAAGAGAGAGAGAGAGATTTTAACAAGGTCCCCGCCCCGTGCCGCGTGCGATCTTTGTGCAGGGGTCTTTGAGGAGCGGTGTGGTCGGCGACTACTCCTACCAGCCGGGGTCGTCCTCCCGATGGGGACTAGCAGCTAGCCGCGTCATCCACGTGGTCCCTCGGGTCCCTGCTGCTCCTAATCTCTTCGTCTGGCTCAACTCGCTTGACGCTTGCCTTTTCGTTTCGCTCCAGCCCTCCAGGTCTGACCCGTGAACGTAGAACGAGGACCCGGCGGACTCGCTCCGGAGGGCTAGTACG